CATCAAATACATCTTGGCCTCAGCTGTGCTTCAGCTCCAGGCCCAGATGAGCAGCAAAACCAGACAAGTAATGCTATGGCTGACATCAGGACCAGCTGCACTGACTAATGACCCCCTCTCCTGACACCAACCAATCAGTAGAGACCGGAACCCTGAAAGGACACACCTCAAAAGCTGATATCTATTAATATCCTCCTCTGGGACCTCCAGATAAATACCCTGAAGACAGATAAATAAAACCCAATGTGGCTTTCTCTATGGAACATGCCTGTGCCTTTCCCTACCACCTTCCCCCAAGCTCGGTTTCCTTGCTTCTCTTTTTTGTAAGCTCCAAAAGCTCTTTATTGGCCTCTGAAACTTGTTTCCTGAGTCCACGTAGCCCAACTGGCTTATTTCTTCTACCTCTGTAACTTTCTAAATAAGCTTTCTCTTGCACTGAGTTCTTGGCTCTGAATTCTTTCTTAGCCGAACCAAGGTCTAACATTCACTGTTAACATCCTGAAACAGTATTTTTCATTACACTTTTATAACATCAAAATATGGTAAACAAAATTTTAGCGATTTGCAAGAGGTCATCCAGCAAGTCAGCAACAGAAAAGGAATTAGAACTCAGAATCCCAAATCCCACGGGTATTATTTCCTGTTACACATAGTTATTGCTTCTTAGCTTATCTTAAAAGACAGTCTATCAAACACAGCAATCTTAGTCATTTTGATGACTAAGAATTAAAGCAAATACGTGATAATGGGTCAAAGGGCACTCCATTTTGTCACACATGATCTTGTTATAACTTTCAACAGAGGGCAATGATTACGCTAAGCTTCACTGGCGTGCCATATATCACTTAAACAGTTCAATAAAAAGGACAGGCCAAATGTTATCACGTACAAAGCAACTGACCGAGAGACAAGACACTGTTCCAACCAAAGCTCTAGCACCAGGCAGCTGCAAGAGTGTGCTTTCCCCCGCCTGCTCCAGGGCTCTGTTTCACATCTATAAAACAAAGGGCTATGGCCTCAGGAGTTACGCCACGGGAAAATCACTGGCCTTCTGGGCAGCACAATTTTTTGTTGTATAGGACTGTCCCATATATTGAGTACATTAAGCCTCTCTGGCCCTTGTCCCCTACATGCTGATAACTCTTCCCCAGTAGTTGTGACAACCAAAAAACCCTGCCCATCAACATATTTCCAAATAGAAAAGGCAGGACATGGACAAGCTATTAGGTAGGGTAGACTTCATTTCCCTAGAAGATGATTTCTCTCTTCAAGGGCTAAAATTCTTTAAGTTAGTAATCCTTCAATTTTACTTAAGTGAAAAGTCCATGACTGAAAAAGAGTATGAAAAGAAGGAAGTCATGGATGATTTGGAAAACACAGTGCAATTTTAGTCCCAATAATCCCCTCCTAGTACCTAACCCAGGAAAATCAACAATGTAAAGATTTATGGGCAAAGGTTTACTCATTACAACACTACTTCTTAAGAGTTGAATGATTTGAAAGAACCCAAATAGGTAACATTTATTGAGCACTTATATGATGCCAGACATCATTCTAAGTACTTTACTTCCTTGTTACCCAAAGTGCAGCATATCACTTAAGAGTTTAATATGAAATTTCAGGCCCCACCTCAGACCTACTAAATTAGAATCTGTATTTTAGCAAGCTCCTCAGGTGACATTAGAGTTTAAGAAACACTATTTTATAGGTACAAATTAATGTAATCTTCAAAACACATATAATTAATCCTCAAGACAACTCTATAGTATAAATATTATCATCCCCCATTTTACAGAGTAGTAAACTAAGGCACAGAGTATTATGTAACTTGCATAGTAACCGTCAGGTCCAGGATCTAAACCCACACATCCTCATTACAAAATCCAAGCTCTAAACCATCACTGCATATTATTTTTCAATTTTTTTTAAAAGATTTTATTTATTTATTTCCAGAGAGAGGAGGAGGGAGGGAGAAAGAGAAGGAGAGAAACATCAGTCTGTGAGAGTTGCCTTTTGCACACCCCCAACCGGGTACTTGGCCCACAACCTAGGCACGTATCCCAACTGAGAAACAAACCAGCGACCTCTCAGTCTGCAGGCCAGCACTCTTTCCATTGAGCCACACTGTCTTGGGGCTATTTTTCAATTTTCAAACAATATTGTCATAAAATGGAATATTGTAGCAATTAAAACTGGTGTCTATGGAATTTTTAATGACACAAAAATATTAATTGAAGTAGGCAGTAAATAAAACTGAATATATGGTATGGCCCCAAATATGTAATTATTTCTTTAATTATACACACACTCACTTTGAAAAATATCTGGAAAAAATGTTATCTGGGGAGGCAATATATGGGATCTAGTGTTAGGATGCCAGAGTTCAAATTCCAGCTCAACCACTTACAGCTCAGTAATCTAAGATGAGATGTATAAGCTTTTTAAGCTTCATTTCCCTCATCTATAAAATAGAAATAACATCTACCTCACAATACTGTTGTGAGGATTAAATGAAGTAATCTAAAAAAGTTTAAACATTAAAAATTATTATTTCTCTTTATACTGTTTCACTTTTTCCAAAATTTCTACAATGAACACATACTATTACACTTCAGTAAGCAGCAAAAACATTTATTAAAAAAGATAATGTCTTAGATTGTCAACTCTCTCATAAAGGGCTATTATAAAGAAAGTACCTATTCCTCTGATTAGATAACATTAAGACTGAACTCAAGCACTTAACCGTTGAGTAAGACAGCTGAAAATGATCTTTAAATAAGTATGATTAAATAGTGAAACTGAGTAAGGGACACTGTGCCAGTTTCTCCCCTGAGGGCCTTTAGTCAGAACAAAGTCCACCATCTATCTTGAATGATTTAGGCATTGCAACTACCTGGCAGTACAGGTTACTGGACCTCTTACAAAGACTCAGTTTTCTTCATTTGAAAGAAATGATATATGGATATATTGTCTCCGTCAGAACTGTAAGGATTTACTGAGAAAAAATGTAAAGTACTAAACACACTGAGAGTAAAATAAAGCACTTAATGTTCGCTAAAATCTATCACGATCATCATCATGATCATCATGATCATCATCTTCATTCTCCGGCTGGATGAGACTTCTTGAACTCCTGTTCCAGCAATGAAAACATATTCATTTTTTCAAACCATAAATTTTTTCATTATTTTCTAATCAATTATATCTTCAAAGAGCTACTTCACTGTAAAATTATCAAGGCCACAGAGCTAAAAGAGACAAACTCTCCACTTTAAGTAGTTTAGATTCAAAAAGTAAATTATACCGCATTTGGATTCTTAATTGACAACACTAGTAGTAGCAAGCCAATTCAGGTGGGGTGTTCTCCACATTTTTAATATCTTTGTATACATACACACTAGTATACAAACGAGTATGTCTTACGTTTAAATACATCAACTCCATCAATCACTACCAACTGTATGTAGGTCAAGGCTTTCTACCTGATAAAATTAGATCAGAATCAGTATTAAGATTTAGAAAAGCTTAAGGATCACCCTGTCTGATCCTTTCATTTTACAAATGGATTTAGAAAATGTAGTCAACTGGTGAACAAGGAAGACATTCAAATGCTAATCTACTTTTTCAGGAATTAGTCCAAATCCTAAATGGGACACATAATAAACTTCAGTTTAGACTTTTAAAATGACATCAATTTTTAGCTCAGCTAAAGGTGTCACTACTATTCCCACATTTAGGTGTAAGTGGGAGCATCCTTTCTCACTTTCAATAGTACTGAATCCACAGCTTTGAATTCTGTTTCAAGAATTTATTTATTACAGAGAAGGGGGAAGAAAGAAAGTTCTACTACTCAGTCATACTGCTCAGGCATAGAGAGCTCTTATTTGATGTCTAATTCAAAGAATAGGAGTTTTCTCAAAAAATAAATCAAAGAGTTCATATGCATCGCATACTACTATAAGAAAACTTTTCTTCTTTATATAAAAAATTTTAAATAAAGCATAAATAGTTTTAACCTACAAAAATATGTTCAACTTCATTCATTAAGATAAATAAAAAGTAAAATGACAAAATAAAATTCCTATCAGATTTGCAGAAATCTAAGACATTAGGGTTGAAAAAACATTTGTCCTTGGAATGCTGACTTTATGATTCTCTAACTTAAAAACTGTTCACAGTCATTCCTATTCACAAGCAAGTATGCACTCATGCATAAGTCTATATACATAAAATTTAACACTAACATGTTCTAGAGAAAGTAAGGGGGAAATAGGTATACTTTTATGTTATTCGTCAAAGTACAACATCTACAAATAGGAATTGGACAATATTTATCAAAATTATAAGTACACATAGCCTCTGATCCAGCAATTCAACTGCCAGGAATTTACCCTATAGATGATTCCCACATAAAAGAAATATCATAGGTACAGAGATATTCTCTGCAGCACTGCTTGTAGAAGTAAAAGAAAATATTAACGATCTGAATGTCCGTTAATAGGAGATTGGCTAAAATTATGGTAGACTCATAGAATGGAATATTATGCAGACATTAAATAAATTAAAACTATATAAATATTAATATGGAAAGATTTCTAAACAATATTAAATCAATAAAGTGTTGTATATAGAACCATTAGTTTTAAAATTTATATGTAAAGAGACATATATACTACTTACTCTATTTTCTTTTATGCATTTCAATTTCATTCTAGATACTTGTATTACTTTAAAAAAAAACTTTTACAATATTTATTGTAAATTAAGATATCCGACCTATTATGTAATCCAAACGCACTAACTTCAAATTTTCATTCACTGTTAGTTTTTAAATTTAAGAATCATAACATCAGCATTCTAAGGACAAATCTTTTTTCAAGCCTAGTGACTGCAATAATCAACATCAGTTCCAGCACAATTAAAATCCTAAAGCCCACTTCCAAGCAGAAACACGTACTACTTACACTGCAAAGGAATTAGAGTGGTGATTCAGACCTTACCTGACCAGGTCTCCATGAAGCTGTAAGTAAAGACTTTCCTTTCCCTCTCCAGCACATATTTCTGATGCTGGTGTCTCCACTGTGCAAAGGACAAGGTGTAAGTCAGAGGAGGTGGAGGAGGTGGTGGTTGTAGTGGCAGTGGTCGTGTCTGCTCCATAAAGGTAAACACAGCCTCTCTTCACATCTTCTCTCAGCCAGTCTCTTTCTCGAGAACCAAACCTACTTCTCCTATTCAAACAATTTCTGCTCCCATTGCGTTTCATATTTCTCTTAAAAAGAATCAAGAGAAAAATCATTAGTGATAATGAGTTAGACATGTTCAGTAATCACCCCACCTTTCTGCTCTATACTCACCAATACTCTGCTCAGTTGAGTATTACCTCCTCTCATGGAGCCCTTCCCATTTGCCATGCCCATTCCTAACTCGGCAAAGTTAGTTTTCTTTACTGCTATAGCTGTTCATGTCTCTCTGCATCATTTTTTTTTTAATTTATTTGATTTGTGAAAGAGAGGAGGAGGAAGAGAGGGAAAGAGGAGAAGGGACGGAGAGAGAAGGAAAGGGAAGGAGAGAGAGGAAAAGAGGGAAAGAGAGCGCGAAAGATCATTTTGTCATTCCACGTATTTATGCATTCACTGGTTGATTCTTGTATGTACCCAGACCGGGGATAGAATCTGCAACCTTGGCATATGGGGACAACACTCCAACCAGCCATGGACCATCATCTTTTCTGACCCTTTCTTCATCTTATGTTTTCAGAAAAATGTCAAGAATAATAAAACATTTGCGCGTCTACTACCCAACTTTCACAAATTTTAATTATTTCATATTTAGTTCCAATCATTATACTAAAGACCATATATACAATATGTTCTTACATATACAGCTGAAGCCACCTGGTATGCCATCACGATCCCACACCCCTCCACTCTCCCCAGAAACACACACTCTACTGTACTCGGTATTTATCATTCCATGCATTTTCATGTTTGCCATGTACATACATACCCATACAGTATTTTTTCACATGATTTAAAACTTTAAGTCGTAACATACTTACGTATGTTAAGTATGCAGGGTATGCACACCCTACAATATTTGTATTTGGTTCTATGCTGGTCTAGATACATCCATGCTAATAAACCCAGCTCATTCATTTGAATAATATTCCATTTTTTAATACACTGCAATTTATCCTTTCTCCTGCTGATGGCATTTAGTTTGTTTTTAATTTTTCATGGTTGGTAACAATGCTACAATAAACACTTTTGCAAACTGAAATTTTCTCTAGGGCCCTGATCCTCTGCCTCATATTCCAAAAAAACAAGTTCAGAATCAACAAAATACTGCACAAATATTCTTTCAATTCTCACCTTGTAACAAAAAAAATGACTGTTGCATTTGATAATTTAAGCATGTGAAATTCATACAAGTTGTAGGGTCACTGTTATCTCAAGGCAAAAACAACTGCTACAGCAATGTAACAAGATTCTAAAGATCAACATTTACCTGCTCTATTTTTGACAAGCCATTTATGTTCCCTTTAAAAGAAATTTCCACTGACAACTACACTGACATACCTCTCCAGTGCCACGTCTTTTACTTTGTTTCACAAATATCTAACTTCTTGTAACTCCCCAAACACACGAACTAATCCACAGTTCTGGGACTTGTCTGAAATGACCTCCATCTTGTCCACCTGACTAGTCATTCTTCAAAGCTCTACACAAATGTTTCCCTCTGCCCTCTCTACGGAAACTTCCATGTCTCCCATCTCCATTTTCTCTCCTCCTACCTAGAAAGAATTAATGATTGTGCTCTCATCAGCAGAACTTCACCTTGAACAAAGCTTCCATTACAATGTAGATCACAATGGGTTTTAATTATTTATGTAATATTTCTTCCTGTCTTCTACACTGAGATTCTATTAGTGCCTTGACACCTGGATGGCAGAGAAATGCATGAAGAACTCAGCTAACAACACAGAAATTTATCCCTATCTGCATGTTAGCCCAATCAGCCCTGGCAAGAAGTTAAAAAAAACTTGGAGGGAAAAATCTCCATTTTTATAGAAAACACTACAATCTTTTCTTTGTACCAGCCAGAAAGTAAATAAAATACTTTTCCTATATTATTTTTCTAATTACTGAGATTAATATTTTAGGATGACTCTAGCATCTAAAATTCAAATCTAATGATGGTAAAGAAATGGGAATAAAGAGTTAGAAGGTACCTACTCATCTGGGAAGAAAATAAGAGAATGGCTTCATTGTTTAAGTTTAGGAAAACACAGGTAAATTGGTCATTTTGCAGATCGTAGGGATTTGAGTACAGTTATTCAAAACATGAAGAGTATTACTGATTCTAACTTTAGATAAGTTGGATAAACCCCCGCAACAAGTGGGAACTAGGTCTTTTCTCATCAAGACTATTTTCTTAAAGTTAGTATCTCAGGGTTAAAAAAGGGCTTTCAAGTACTTATTTTATAAATACAAGGGCCACCATATTTGTACCACTAAATACTGCAATTTTAACCACTGAATAATTCGCTGCTTAATTTTAAATATTCTTTATTTTTTAATCTTTGGTAAAGATCAATTGGTTCATCTGAAAACAGCAGTCTCTATGGTACACTTACACAAAGAAGTTCTTCACTACGAAGAGAGAAATTTTGCTCACTGCTATTAGAAGAGAGAGCAAATAGATACTATTCCATACAAACATCAAAAAGCTTCTTTAAAAACAAAAACAAAAACTTGCACCCTGGCTGGTACAGCTGAGTGGACTGAGAGTCTGCCTGCGAATGAAAAGGTCCCCAGTTCAATTCCTATCAGGGCACATGTCTCGGTTGCAGGCCAGGACCCCAGTTGGGGGCATGCGAGAGGCAACTGATTGATGTTTCTCTCCCTCTCTTTCTCTGTCGCTTTCCCTCTCTCTGAAAATAAATTTAAAAAAACAAACAAATAAAAAAAAACTTTTTTTTTTTTAAAAGGCCCAATAATAGCCCACCAACCTTCTCAATCTTAGAAAATTCAAGAAATGCCCCAAGAAGTATTATATTAGTCATTCATGATTTTTCTTCTGTAGAGATTAAGTCATTTTTAATGTTTATACATATTTCCTTTTAGACTATAAATTCCTTAAAGAACTTTACATTATTGAAACATGGGTTGTTGGTCAAAGAAGGTACCTCTTGGGTATATGATATATTCCATTGAAGATAAACCACTGAATTAGAACTTCAGTAGATGTCAATGGACATTTAGAAGGCCTAGATACTAAAAAAGCACAGGCCTTCCAGCAGCAATCTAGATGGACTGTTTAGCTATTATTAGCCACTGCTGAATTACCTAGTGCTTTCTTCTCCACTGCCTAAAGCATCAGGTAACTGCTGGAAAGGCCAATACTATCCTCTGAGATGTTGTCAGCTTTTAGAATCACTACTCCATTGGAATTGCTAGATTGAGAACATTTTATTTCCCCCTCCCCACCCTTACTCTTACTAAGAACTGTTGACAAACTTATCTAGAAGACAGCACAAGTATAATCACCTCTCACATGATACAGGTGGATAAAGAACACATTTAGGGTTTAAAGGTATTTCTAGAAAACAAGTCTTTAGACTAAGACATGAATTAAACACCCACTTCAATTTTATGTTTTCAGTCTCTAAAAAGGAAGACAATATATGAGGACTGTGATCAGTTAAAAGGTGACAGATTATTGAAGGCCCATCTAAAATTAACTCTAAGATATGCATGGTAAGAACAGGGTCTTGTAAAGTAACTCTCCATACTCAATGAGCACTATAAAGGAAACATTCCTGCATTCAGACTTTAAAACAATATGAGTTCATCTCTGTGACTACCGTTAAATATTTTGTTTTTAAATTTTTATTTATTGGTTAATTTTAGAGAGTGAGGAAGGGAGAGAACAATAGAGAAATACTGACTTATTGTTCCATTTATTCATGCATTCATTGGTTGATTATTCTGTGCTCTGACTGGGGATCAAACCCACAACCTTCGTATATAGGGACAATGCTCTAACCAAGTGACCTATCTGGCCAGGGCCAGAAATATTTTATAAGGGCTGCGATGAGATAAAAAGAGGAAGAATATTTCAGTTAATTAAAATATTTTTGGTACCAGATACAGCCCTGGCCAGTGTGACTCAGTTGGAGTGTCATCCTATACTACAAAAGGTTAAGGGCTTGATTCCCAGTCAGGGCACGTATGTAGGTTGCCTGTTCGACGTCCACTCAGGGTACGCACAGGAGGCAAACAATCAATGTTTCTCAGATATTTCTCTCTCTCCCTTCCTCTTCCTCTAAAATCAATAAACATTTTTTAAATAAATAAAACCATATACACATTTGATCAAAATTTGACAAGTATTATTCAAAAAAACTAATCACATTCCCTGACAAGTTTAGTCGTAACTTCGTATCTTCTACAGATAGAGGGGGGGAAAAAAAAGACAAATGGGAGGAAGCATCTAGAAAATGTATGCTTTAAAAGGTACTCCCAATCATCTTAAGAGTAATAAAAATATCACACTATATTCCAACTACAACTATAAAGGGTACATCCTAAACAATAATTTGCTAAATAAATTTGGGGGCAGACTTTGAATCAAACTTTCCAATACTCTATGCAGACAGACCTATATCTAATTTGGCTAAACTACACTGGTTTAGTTATATTAGTCTTTTTATTAAGGTCTATATTTTCTGACAATTACATTCATAACTTGGTATTAAGTATAAAAGAGGTACACAAAAGAGTAAGTCATTTCCAAAGGGTCTTCAAAGAATGACATGTTGGAGATTAGGATTTTCCTTCCAATCCATAAAGTCTTCTACTCGGATATTTTCCAAGTTTCACCTGGCACAAAATTCAACCACTCAGCTACTTAAGGGAACTTCTGTATGTAGAACACACAGCACCTATTTTCTATAGTTGATCCCATTTCTTTGCAAGGATTATTAAAGCATTAACTATATGCAATAAAAGATTCAAGGGCCCAAGATACTGCCAGCCTCCCACACCACCAGTTGAGCACTATAATCAAGATCAATTTCTAAAATTTTCCTAATGGTCCCCAAATTGGAAGTCCAGGGAGCAAGGGGTGGGTCTGACCACCTCCTGGAAGTATAGGAAGGTAGGACCCTTCAATAAAGATGATTTGGTCAGAGGCAAGGCTGAGGGTTTGATACCAGGTCAGAGCACGTGCAAGAAGCAACCAATGAATGCGTAAGTAGGTGGAACAATAAATGGATGTTTCTCTCTCTCCCTTCTTAAAAACAAACAAACAAACAATTATTTTCCAATTTCCCCCACACAAAAAATATCTTACTAAAAAAGCGAAAGCTGTTTACCTTCTAGGCCAGAAGGCATAATTATCTCTTTCTCAGACCTGCCATTTCCTGATAAATTGGGCTAGTTAAATTTGGGGGGGGGGGCTGGGGGGGCGCGGTCCATTCACATTTTACGTTTTTGTGACCTTATGGTTTTAAATAAACACACAAAAGCCTTTGGGTAATTATATTTGCAACTTATGGTTAAATAAGTTACAATGAATATGTAAAGTTTTATGCAGAAGATAAACTATGAAAAGTTACTTCTTTAAATCACTCGATTAAGACTGGAAAGTAGTAGCAGAAAAACTAATATTTTAGAGTTAAATTTTTATGATGTTATGGATTCACCAGATGCTTCAAATCTATTTTTTTTTTCAGTGCTTCCATCTTTGTGGTGTCCTACTAATAATTTTAATGAAAGTATATTTTGCTCATCCTCATTCCCAATTAACAACTCATGCATTTTCATTGTTTTGCAAAGTATTTTTTATTTTGAAACACATCCTATCTTCTAAATTTTTTATCTCTCTTCCTTCTCCCTGGCAAGTTTTAAATCCTGCTGATTTCTCTACTGCAATTCTGGAAGGAATTCCATTCCATCTCCAGAAGACACCTAGTTTACATATTTGACCTACAGAAAAAAATCCTTCCAACTGTTTGAAAGCCTAGCTGAAACTCCATCCACTGGCCTCCCACAACCCCTTCTTTTAACCATTTTCACTGTCCCCTCCCCACCCTACATCCCTTGTGCATTTGAACTTCTTGTCATCGCCTCCCAGGCTCCACTCCCCACCATTTGCCTGCATCTGCTTTCATTTCCTCCTACTCCCCCCAATTCCTGCCAAAAAGCCCCGCAAGCTGCCTGTTGCATAACGGCTCCCCCATTACCGTCTCCCTGGATGGTTAGGCCCGCAACCCGCAAGCAGGAATGCCCCTTTTTGTCCAATCCCCTCTCCCTTCTGCAACACGCCCAGCGACTCCCAGAGATGAGACTCCTCCGGGGATTCTCTCTCCAGACGGGGCAGGACATGCATTCGAGGCCGGCGCCTCGGAGCGAAAAGCCCGGTATTAACTTCGGTGGAAAAGCCTGGCGGGCAGAGCCGGCTCGCAGCACCCGGCGCAGCCCCAAGCACACCGCAGTGCTCAGCCAATCACCGCCGCCATCCTCCCGCTGGGGTGATGTCTTCAGGTGTCCGGGGAGGAAGCCCTGCGTACTTTCAGCCCGGCCCCCGGGCCGCACGCGCGGCCAAGGGAGGCAGAAGCGGGCCCCGGGTCCCGAAGGAGCCCGTAGGCGGCGGCGGCCGGGCGGACGCCGGACCCAAGGCGTGGGCCTGAGGGAAAGGTGGCTCGCGGCCAGGGATGAGCAGCGGAGGGGACGCGGGAGGATGAGCAGCAGAGGGGAAGCCGGGGGCCCAGGCCTCAGCGGTGGCCAGCGCGGAGGCCGCGGCGCCCCCAGCGGGGCTGAGGGGCGGCCGAGCGGCCGAGAGGATTAATTGACGCGGGGCGGGGGTCGCCGGCTGCCTTGGCCAACGTGCGGGGCAAAGGCGGCCGCTCGCCGCCTTTGCTCCCTCCCCAACCCGCTTGCCCGCCCGCCCGCCTCACCTTCAGGACCCGAATCCCGCCGGGCCGGCGACTCGTGGGTGCCTCGGGCGGCTCCGGGGGTTCCAGAGGGCCCGCGGGCCCGGGCTCCACCTCCCCCATCGGCGGCAGAGGCTGCACTGAGACGCCCGGCCGGCGCGACGGCGCGCGGAGCCTCGGCGGCGCGCGCGAGCAGCCTGCGGTCCCGCCCCCGCGGCCTGACAGACCCGCCCCGGGCCCCGCCCCTCCCGCAGCCCCGTCGGACCTGCGTAGCTGCGGGCAAGATGCGTCCCCGGCGCCTCGGGCCGCACGCTGGCCGGCCTCCGCAGGGCTGGGCCTCCGCTGCGAGCAGCCCTGTTTGGAGAACTGAGGCCCAAAGAGGGTTATTTACATCCCCGCCTTCCAAGTACGGGCTGGACAAAGGGCAGGTGTCAACGGTGACCGGACGCTGCTCTCAGAGAGGGTGGCTCTTGCAACTTTATTCACCAAGACGTTTCCTCTCTTCCCACTTGTGCATTGGCCTGTCACCCCCACTTGCAAAGCCATTGAATGAATTATTGAGGATACTCACCTTAGCGAGGACCTGTTCTTTTCCTTATTGGAGGTGCTCACGACCATCAACAAATTCGACCCAAGGCTCTACAAAATGTTAACTCACCACCCAGCCACATTTTAATTCCGTTTCTCTCCATGCAGTAAAATCCAAATTCAGTTCCTTGTCTCAAGCAATGATATGGCCTGTGAGCCATTTTATTATTTGCAGGGATGATTCAGAAAATCTTTAGAAGTGTCCGAATTGGGGGTGGTTTTGTGGCCGGTCAGTGGACCAAACTTGGAATTAGAAAGCCAGATCCCAAGTCTCAGCTCTACCTCTTACTAGATCTATACTCTTGTGCTACGTTACTTGATCTTAGACTTCGGTTCTTAAGCTGTGAAACAGAAAATAATACTTGCCTCACAGTAACTATCAAGATTTTGCGAATGCATGCAACGTGCTTAGCAGAGGAAGGATTCATAGCCATTATACATGTGAATTTCCAAATTTAAGATTCACTCAGTGCCTCAGAGTATTCTTGTTAATTCTGTTCCAAATTTTCCTAAGAAACCTAGACTTCCCAATTTTTAGGTATTCCTTTTGCACCGCTGTTGATGAATCTTCAAGCAACTTGCAAAAAAAGTATCTCTTGAGCTTTGAATAATCAATAAAGATGGTATTACCGGTTATCCATTGCTTCAACTTTCTTAGTCCAGACCAACTATGTTTTAATTGCAGGCTGAGAACGAGAGTTTGTGATTTCAAATAGTGCAGCCTGTGCCCCTCTCTACTATGACAGGTATGTATGCATTTGGAGATACTTTAAATTCCAAGACAAAGTTTGACTCTTGCGAAGATTCTGATCCTGTACAAATTATTGTTCCTTTAAGTTTGGTCACTACTTCCTCCCTTTACAGGAGTTACCTTGTACATACAAAAATTCACTCTCCAGTGATCTTCATTTCTTTGTCTCATTTTAATGAATTAAAAATTGTCTCTCGTGTGTCTTGGTGTAAGGTGAAAAACACTCTTAGGTTGTCTACCTCCTGGGTTTTCCCTCTACCTCGAAATTACTTTCAAGAAAGCTACTCAAGGTATTTGGATTCCATTTCTTCTAGCAAGAACACTAGGCAGAAAAGGACCTGACCAACAGCAAGCAGGTAGCAGAAAGAAAAAAAAAATGTGGTTCAGAATCATTGTTTCTAAAAGCCTGTTTGTTGATGTATTACACATTACCTTTTCCAGATCTTGTGAGCAGAGGCTCTTTACTGATCACCTGAAGGGGAAGGATGTCCTGGGACCAGCATTTGAGTTCAGACTGGGCAAGAGTAGTGGTAGATGACTGGTAGTAGTTTTTGTTTTAAATTAATGGGCTAAAGCATCAATTCAAAATACAAGCATATGCTAGTTATATATTTACTTTTTTTTTTTTTTACAGTAACAGTACCTCTTTCAAAAGGAAAAAATACAAAAAAGCTACCAGCCTAGATATTGCAGGGGATAATTTATCATACAGTTCCTGTTAATGGTGTCCATGACTTAAGATCCAATTCAGTAAGTACTAACCAGTTGATTGTGGGTTTTTTTCTTCAAATCATGTAGTGCCATTAACGTTTTATATTTTTTTCAAAGGTCACACATATTCATGTTCTCCCCAGTTCAAGGCATTGTGCATTATGTATGCCAAGGGTTATGTAACTACAATTTCTGGAAATGGTAAACAGCTGAGACTAACCCTAAAAATAAATTCCTCTGGGACTTTTTGGTACAAAAACCCATCTGCCCTCACTGCAGGTTCATCGTTACAAAAATCACTCTTTAGACCAAGCCAAGAGACATAGAAGTCACTAGGCTCCTTCTTCTCTGTATCCTTCCTGTAAGCAGCTATGCGTACCTACCTCCTCATCTGGGCACGCGCACTCTCCCCCTCTCTGTCTCTCTTTAATCTCAAGCTTTTCCTAATCCTATGAAATGGAAGGGATATCCAAAGAAGAAAAGTTCACATCTATCAAATTTTCATAGAGGAACCATTAAGAGCTTACTACATTGGCTTGTTTATAGGTCGTCCCCACTCTTTCAACGATCACAAAGCCATCTTTAGGCCTAAATCCCCTGTTATTCTACCACAGATTGAGCATATTTAGATATTCCTTATTTTGGTTCCAAATAAAAAGCAAATTTACCTGGCTTCAAGGTTTGAAGGAATTTCTTCCCTGCACATTTTTATACTTTTTTGAATATGGGGACAATTGAAAAAGGGGAGGAAATGGCATAGAAAGCCCTTTTAAAAGTGATAAAATTAATTTGGGTCCTTCTAAATTGAAGTTCAAATCAGAATGCTACTCATTGTAAAGTAACTGTGGATTCTATTAGTTGCTAAACTTATCTATTGTGGCTTTTATATTTTCACATAATTACATGTAGATGAAGGTGTGAACTAAATTTAATATTAGAAACAAAGATGAATTTGAAGCCACATGTAAGATTATAGGAATGTCACTTACCAAACAGTGCCAAAGGGCCCTTCTGCATAACCCAGGTAAGTGCCAAGGCAGGCATCTTCCTCCGTCTCAATTAGGGCACGGTCACACTCTCCCCCTTCTCAATCAGGGGACTGCCAGGAAGCATCTGAGTTAATAGAAAACCTAAAGCTTTCAACTTCCAGCCACTCTCACTTTTACGAAAGAGTCTGTATAAAATAGACCTGGAAGTATAATTCATTGGGCTAGTCAAGACTTCTCTGCCCCGTCTGATAAACTTGAACAATTCACAAATAAAAGCTTGTAGCTGAAACCCTATAACCACCCCTCATAACCATTTCACCCTAATATGATTTCCCTTGTATGAGAATTTACCTTTGTGGAGAAGGATGGAGATAATCACACAGTTAAAATTTCCCATTAGACTTTTTACTGTCTACAACTACAAATTTGTTCAAACTCCTCTCGAGACTTCTGTATAAAAGGAACATCAACATCAGTAAATTTAGTTCAAAGCTCTGGAACAAGAATTCATTCAAGGCTTCTCTAATCCACTTGTAAGAACCGAGGAAGCAAATTTTAAATCATTGATTATTGACTTTTTATTATTAGTCACTGTTCATAATTTGTTTCAACCAAAAGACAATACACACAGCAGAATTCTAATGCATCCCATGTAAATGTTTACATCCATTTTATTCCTCACTCGCGTCTAAGACTTATCATTTAATTTTAAATTTTTTTTACATCTCAAAAATATGTCTGCAATAATTAGAATTTCATTAGCTGTCCCACTTGGAAACAGCCTTTAATAATTTTACAGTAAAGAAGATGTGAAGGGACTTAATGAAAATGTAACTTACAATATTTTGGGGAAAAAAAGGGACTTTACAGGGACACAGTGGGAGTTCACAGAGGAAAGACTTCAGAAGCTCTTTCCCATGAGGCCCCCAAATAGAAAACAAAAACAAAACACACAAAGCGCAACAGCAGGTTCCAAAACAAAAAACAAACTCCAATGCTCTCTCTTGAAGCCAGAATCGGCCTCCTGGTAGTTTGTGAAGCAACTATTCAAGCTGCTTCAGCATTTTCTTCTGTTTACGTGTTCCAGGTCCTGGAACCCCACAAACGGGACCCACTAACTGCTATTGCTTGAAAAAGAGTTATTGGCTTCCAGTTCTACAAGCAGCCCCACCCTCTTGAGCCAAAGCTGGTCAGAGTGTTTCAAAGTTCAGCACATTCTGAGCAATTCTCTCTTCAGTGATCCTGCCCACTCCGTAACTCATGAGAACACAAACCACCTCTCCACCAACTACGAAGTTTCTGAATGTCCACGTTTAGCTCTCTTAGTTTAGGACAATGTGGATAAAATACATTCACTATGAAAAAAATATACACATTCAAATGCTTTCCTCTAGTTCTCATAGCCCAAATATTTTCCAATGCATAAGATAAGGAAGTTGAATCTCAAAAACAGTAATCCATAACCGTAACCTCTTCTAGAAGAACGTACAATGGAAAGCATCTTATATAAATAGAAATACTCGAACCGTTAGTGCTGGACAGTTTTAAAAGTCTATTGAATGGGACAAACGAGGGGTACAAACCACATCTTTAACCGAGCAAGAGGAAAGGATCCCCTCCCAAGAGTTACACTGAGGAATGTTTCTTTAAATGAAAAAGACCTTAAAATGAAAAGTTGATCACCATACACAGCATAAAACATTCCATGACTATCCAAATTACCTCAAGGTAACATAACTGGAGCACTGTGGGAGAAGCTTCTCAGGTAGAGCACCCTTTCCTACAGTTTTTTAACATAACTTAGATGAATTCTCCCTTAGGATTACTGGGGGTGAGAGGGGTGGGGCATTGAGCAAGGGAAAGAATACAAATTATTCTGGAAGAGGAAAAAATGAGGTAAAAGTGCATGTGAAACTGTCCAAGGAAGTGTGTATAGGCTCACTGCTTTTCACCCCAAAGTTAGTAAAACAGCCATGGAAATTACTCTTTCCTCACAATGGCTCTTAAGTTGTAAATCTACCCAAATTTGCTCCCCCTTGAATGGTTATACTAGGGAAAGAAATTACTGAAATGTGTAAGTATTCATAGAAATTAAAGAGATTTCTCCTTTTAGCAGCAAGGCCAAGTGAGAGAAGAACTAATTCTGATGCTAGAAACTAAGGCACG